GGTTTCCAACTTCACCTGCAAAGTCTTTGACAGATATTTGGTGTATAGGGAACATAAGTGGAACTGCAATATATTTGGCAGCTAAAGCATTTGAAATATCTGGGTCCAACATATAGACTGCAAGTCTGCTTTCTATTCTCTTGCATTCAAACTTTTCGCATGTGAACTTAACTGGGTCCCAAGCAGTTCCAGCAGCATTGAAGTAGTAGTTTACTTCAGTGTTGAGGTTTGAGAAACCAAAGTCTAAGTCAACTTTGTCTTTGCAAAAGTCACAGAACTTGGCTCCACCAGTTCCAGCTACAGTAAGAGTGAATGGGTCTTGTGTTGGTGCAATGACTAAGTTATTTTTGCTTGGAGTAAGTTCGATAGAAATTTTTCCTGCCCAGTTTGGCAAGTATCTTAAAAACCTGAAGATGAGGAAAGATGACAAAGGAACTCTAAGTTTCAATTTTACTTTGGTTACTGCTGCTGCAGTTTGTCCAGAAAGGTCAACATAAACTCCTGGAACGTTAGGGTCAAGTCTTCTTATTTTCTCAATGGTGGCATACTGGTCTGTTTGTTCTCTAGCTTGTGGTTGTACTGAGTTTCTCAAAGCGAACCATTCATAGTTTGCCCATGTTACTGTTTGAACTAAGTCAGAGTTAGAATATATCTTATATCCATGAAAACTTCTGGAGCATATTGGTATCCGACATAGAAAATTCCATTGCAACCTTTCTTGTCAGACAACTTGGCAGAAGGTTTTATTTCAATGTCTTGTTCCACGTATAAGAAAGAGTTGTCAATAGAAATTATATGAAACCTGTCGCAAGCAATATCTACTGTTGTTGAAGAACCTTCTCCAAACTCACCTACGTTTCCATAAGAAACAGCAGTTGTATATTCGTAAGTTCCAGGAACTATTTCTGACCTTCTAATGGCATTGTCGCATTCGTTATACCATTCGGAAACATTTCCATTCATAGCATCCAAAACTGTTGGCGTTATATTCTGAGCGGCGTACATTTCATATGGGTAAAAATATAGAATAGTTGTCAAGTTCTTCTTCGTATATGTTTTGTCAAGACTTTCATCGTAAATGTTTTGTTGAGACTTCTTCGTCAATGTTTTGTTGAGACTTCATCGTCAATGTTTTGTAAAGACTTTCATCGTAAATGTTTTGTTGAGACTTTGTCATGAACTTTCTTGTCAATGTTTTGTAAAGACTTTGTCAAGTTCTTCTTCGTAAATGTTTTGTTGAGACTTTGTCATCTAATTTCTCATGAACTTTCTTGTCAATGTTTTGTCATGAACTTTCTTGTCAATGTTTTGTAAAGACTTTGTCATGAACTTTCTTGTCTATGTTTTGTAAAGACTTTGTTGAGACTTCTTTGTAAAGACTTTGTTGAGACTTCTTTGTAAAGACTTTGTCATGAACTTTCTTGTCTATGTTTTGTAAAGACTTTGTTGAGACTTCTTTGTAAAGACTTTGTCATGAACTTTCTTGTCTATGTTTTGTTGAGACTTTGTCATGAACTTTCTTGTCAATGTTTTGTAAAGACTTTCATCGTAAATGTTTTGTTGAGACTTTGTCATGAACTTTCTTGTCTATGTTTTGTCAAGTTCTTCATCGTAAAGACTTTGTCATGAACTTTCTTGTCAATGTTTTTGTCAAGTTCTTCATCGTCAATGAGTGTAAATGACCCAAAATATATTTTAGGTGAAGAGGTGAGATCTCACCTGTTTTCTCACCTGTTTTTTCACCTCTTGAATTTTCATGAATTTCTTCGTAAATGTTTTGTTGAGACTTTGTCATGAACTTTCTTGTCAATGTTTTGTTGAGACTTTGTCATGAACTTTCTTGTCTATGTTTTGTCAAGTTCTTCATCGTAAAGACTTTGTCATGAACTTTCTTGTCAATGTTTTTGTCAAGTTCTTCATCGTCAATGAGTGTAAATGACCCAAAATATATTTTAGGTGAAGAGGTGAGATCTCACCTGTTTTCTCACCTGTTTTTTCACCTCTTGAATTTTCATGAATTTCTTCGTAAATGTTTTGTTGAGACTTCTTCGTCAATGTTTTGTAAAGACTTTGTTGAGACTTCTTTGTAAAGACTTTGTTGAGACTTTGTAAAGACTTTGTCATGACTTCTTTGTTGAGACTTCTTCATCTAATTTCTCATGAACTTCTCATCTAATTTCTCATGAACTTCTTCGTAAATGTTTTGTCAAGAAAGTTCAGTAAGGACATATGGGGTGAAAAAACAGGTGAGAAAACAGGTGAGATCTCACCTCTTCACCTAAAATATATTTTTGGGTCATTTACACTCATTGACGATGAAATCATGTCAAGTTCTTCATCGTCAATGTTTTGTTGAGACTTCTTCGTCAATGTTTTGTAAAGACTTTGTTGAGACTTCTTTGTAAAGACTTTGTTGAGACTTTGTAAAGACTTTGTCATGACTTCTTTGTTGAGACTTCTTCATCTAATTTCTCATGAACTTCTTCATCTAATTTCTCATGAACTTCTTCGTAAATGTTTTGTCAAGAAAGTTCAGTAAGGACATATGGGGTGAAAAAACAGGTGAGAAAACAGGTGAGATCTCACCTCTTCACCTAAAATATATTTTTGGGTCATTTACACTCATTGACGATGAAATCATGTCAAGTTCTTCATCGTCAATGTTTTGTTGAGACTTCTTCGTCAATGTTTTGTAAAGACTTTGTTGAGACTTCTTTGTAAAGACTTTGTTGAGACTTTGTAAAGACTTTGTCATGACTTCTTTGTTGAGACTTCTTCATCTAATTTCTCATGAACTTCTTCATCTAATTTCTCATGAACTTCTTCGTAAATGTTTTGTCAAGAAAGTTCAGTAAGGACATATGGGGTGAAAAAACAGGTGAGAAAACAGGTGAGATCTCACCTCTTCACCTAAAATATATTTTTGGGTCATTTACACTCATTGACGATGAAATCATGTCAAGTTCTTCATCGTCAATGTTTTGTTGAGACTTCTTCACTACTTTCACTTTGTTCTACTCTTCTCTTCTTCTTTGGTGTCGCTTTTGGTAACTTGCCCTCTGCTTCAAGTTGTTGTTGCTGAACTATTTCTTCCATGTCTGGTTGTATCTGAACTTCTTCCTGTGGAGTTTCTTGTACCTCATCTGCTGGCACATATGTTCCGAGACCGTTTTTAACAAGTTCCCTATCTAAGTCATCCGGACTCATAAACCTTTCTTCTTTCGTTCCGTCTCTATATTCTGCACTTTTCATTACCTTTTGCATGGACGCGTCGTCATTTTTACTTTCTTGTGCTAAGTTTTCATACTGTATGGTTTGGTTCTGCAACTGTAAAAGTTTTTCTGCCTTTACATTTGCTTCAACTTCTTTTTTATACTCATCGCTATCCACATATGTCTTCAGGGCTTTTTGTTTTATCTCTTCATCTTTCAGTACTTTATATCGAGTAGTATGGTTTTTCAAATTTATGACATCTTGTTCCATTTTTGCTACTTCTGCTGCTTTTTCTGACATTTTTTTCGCATATTCCTCTGTACTTAGTTCTTTCAGTTGTTCTTCTTTCTTCTTTTTCTCTACGTTTAACTCATTGAGTTTCTTTGTGTGTCTGTCATATTCTAGTTTCTTTTCGTTTTCACATATTTGCTTCTGTATGTCTATGTTTGACTTTTTGACATCTGTTATTTGATTTTTGAGTGAACTCAAATTCATTTGACTTTGAGGGTTATATGCTGTTCCGTCTGCAGCTCCACCATAGCCTGCCATTTTCGCTAAAAGTGCCGCTCTTAAACCTCCACTCTGTGCACCAACAACTCGGTTTAAAAGCATAGGATTGCTTGACATTTGTTGCAACATAGTGGGGTCATTCAGCATTTGTTGTTGCAACTGTTGTTGTGGTGTTAGTCTTACTATTGGATGTTTCAATGCTCTCTTCCTCTTACGTATATTCTTACGTATCTTACGTGGCATTTAAGTGAAGTTAAAAAGCGGCTTTTGACAGATGTTTATATGACACTTTCTCCGGTTTATAGGACCTCTCTCATATTCTATCTTATCGTATCTAAACTCATCGTAAATGTTTTGTTAAGACTTCATCTAATTTCTCATGAACTTTCTTGTAAATGTTTTGTTAAGTTCTTCATCGTAAAGACTTTGTCAAGACTTCTTCATCGTAAAGACTTTGTCAAGTTCTTCATCGTAAAGACTTTGTCCTCTAACCATCTCATAACGGTTTCCAAACCACTTTTATCGGATGTAAAGTAAAAGCATGGATGGTTATGTAAAACGTCTAAAGTTTCTAAAGAGTCTCTCAAAGTATACTTCCTTGGAACGCCCGTAACTTTGAGAAGCGACGATAGACCCTTACTTGTCCGGACATAGTTCTACTATTTTGAGTCCTCTACAAACAAGTCAACAGCAACGACTTTCAAAAAATTTTAGGGGCTAGAAGGCACGAAGTGCCTGGGAAGCCCGCTTCACCCAAAAAAACCTCATTTTATATCAACTGCATGTTATACTAAACATCTTCAGGGGCTAGAGGGGCGCAGCCCTGGAAGCCCCAATACCCTTTTTTTTTCATTCTATCAAAATACTCTTTAAATCGGATTAATGCATTCAAAATATGCTGTATTTTATAAAATTGTCATAAATTGATTGAAATTTTCATATAGTTAGCATAATCTTTGAAAATGCTGCGAAACATCTTATCAATATGAGCAATAACTATTAAATATCTCCAAACAAAGCATTGTCATAGCTCAAGTAATTGATCAAGTTCCAATTAAACTTAAAATCTCTTGATAATCAGCTCATTCACCAAGTACTACTCAATATAATGCGTGATTACATATGTTGTCTTATTCTCAAAGCTTCGTTTGACAAAAAAATTTAAGATATAAATTTTGTATTGATGCAAAGAAACAATATTAATACTTTTCTTCCTGTTTTATTTTTGAATTCAGAATAATTGATGAGACTCATTGAATCTTAAAAATTCTGAGTGCATGAGTATGGAAACCTGTCTTATACATTCGAATGAGTGCATCCTAGCAAATATCAGACAATACATTAATGAAGCTAAGTTTTTTGATATTTTTGAGGCTGAAGACATCAAAGAAATATTGCAGGCAGGCGAAGTACAACTGGCAGACTATCTTGATCTTATTGAACAATGTGGGAAGAATAAAAACGGAGTTAAATCAATATTGTTTTTACTTAATGCAAGACTCTCTTTGAAAAATCTTCAAGAAGCCATTTCTATTCTTAAATCCCTATCAAATAACTTACATTTAAGTGTTTTCAACGAAATTAACAAAGTAATAGAGCTCAATGAGCATTCACTCGAAATAATACAGCAAAGTCAAGATAAAGAAAATGAAATTAAAAATCTTAACTCAGAGAACGCGCAATTAAAGGATGAAATATCCATACTTAAAGAAAGTCTTTTCACCTATGAATTTCAATCAAAAATTGCTCAATATTCAAATTCGACTGATTTTAATAGTATATATCAATTTCTTGAAAATCTTTCAGCGAAAGAAGACCAAAAGTACATGTATTTAGCATTTGAAGAAGGTCTCTGTGGTAAGAAGGATGAAAAAGAGAATACTATTCTTATAAAAGCATCATCAACAGGAAACTTCAAATTTGTTAAATCACTTATTGAATGGGGATGTGATCTAAATGCTGCAAATAGAAATGGAGATACTCCTATAATGAAAGCTTCAGCACAAGGACATCAAAATATTGTCAAATATCTTAGAGAAAATGAAGCAAATAAAGAAGCAAAAAATAATTCTGGTATTACTTCTCTTATTTATGCATCAGCTAATGGACATTTCGATGTGGTGAAATATCTTATCGAAAATGATGCAAATAAGGAATCAAAGGACAACAATGGAAATTCTCCTCTTAGTTGGGCATCTAGTATGGGCAATTATGAAATTGTCAAATACTTAATTGAAAATGACGCAAATAAAGAAACCAAAAATAATGAAGGTGTCACTCCTCTGATGAAATCATCTGCAAAAGGTCATCTTAATATTGTTAAGTATCTTGTAATAAATGGAGCAAATAAGGAAGCGAAGAATAAAGATGGTTTTACTGCTCTAATATATGCAACAACAAATGGTCAACTCGAAGTTGTTAAATACCTTGTATCAGTTGGGGCAAATATTGATGCAACGGATAATTATGGATATACATCTCTTAAATGGGCTTTGTCAAATAATAATGAGAAAATAATTGATTTCCTTAATTCAGCAGGAGCTTCTGTTGATGCACCAAGAAATACTGGAAATAGACGACGCAATTGGGCTTCAATTAGAGGTAAATTATAAATAAAGTACTCACAAAATCTAGATTGAGAGGCGGTCAATGACTTTTGAGGGGAAATTAACGCATGGAATTTAATATTATTTAGGTTGATATTCTTGCTTATTATTTCAGAAAAAAATCTTAAAAATTTCAATATGAAAATTGAAAGCAATTCAAAAAAATTGCTAACATGTAAATTTTAATATCCTATGCATAATTTCATATAAAAAAAAAAGAAAAAAAAAAGGGATTGGGGCTTCCAGGCGCGTTGCGCCCTCTAGCCCCGAAGATGTTTAGTATAAAACCGCTTTTTAACTTCACTTAAAATGCCACGTAAGCTACGTAAGAATATACGTAAGAGGAAGAGAGCATTGAAACATCCAATAGTAAGACTGACACCACAACAACAGTTGCAACAACAAATGCTGAATGACCCCACTATGTTGCAACAAATGTCAAGCAATCCTATGCTTTTAAACCGAGTTGTTGGTGCACAGAGTGGAGGTTTAAGAGCGGCACTTTTAGCGAAAATGGCAGGCTATGGTGGAGCTGCAGACGGAACAGCATATAACCCTCAAAGTCAAATGAATTTGAGTTCACTCAAAAATCAAATAACAGATGTCAAAAAGTCAAACATAGACATACAGAAGCAAATATGTGAAAACGAAAAGAAACTAGAATATGACAGACACACAAAGAAACTCAATGAGTTAAACGTAGAGAAAAAGAAGAAAGAAGAACAACTGAAAGAACTAAGTACAGAGGAATATGCGAAAAAAATGTCAGAAAAAGCAGCAGAAGTAGCAAAAATGGAACAAGATGTCATAAATTTGAAAAACCATACTACTCGATATAAAGTACTGAAAGATGAAGAGATAAAACAAAAAGCCCTGAAGACATATATGGATAGCGATGAGTATAAAAAAGAAGTTGAAGCAACTGTAAAGGCAGAAAAACTTTTACAGTTGCAAAACCAAACCGTACAGTATGAAAACTTAGCACAAGAAAGTAAAAATAACGACGCAGCCATGCAAAAGGCAATGAAAAGCGCAGAATATATAAAAGCTAATAATGACTGGTTAGATGCCCAAGCCAACGCTAAAGCAGCCCAGCTTATAGGGTCAATAAGGACAAAAATACAAGCGGATGAAGACAGTTCAAATGAAGCTTTAACAAATGCTGACTTTAAGAACGCCTTCGAAGCTCTTCATAGTAAGGTGAAACAAGTGAACGACTTCTCATCTGGAAAGAAACTGAAGTCTGAAGGTTTCGACAAAGAGTTAAAAGAAGTAGCACAAAATATGACGAAAATAACAGATGCAGCAACGAGACAGGCAGTTCAAAGTGCCTATGACGCCGTTAGAGCAACTGTTGTGAAAAGTCAAGAAAAAGAGTTACAACAGACCAAAACAGACCTAGTAAATGCTTTCTTAAAAACGAAAAGTCAGGTAGGACATTACGCTGCAGATGGAACATATGTGCCAGCTGGTGGAACATATGTGCCAGCTGGTGGAACTTATATACTAGCTAGTGGAACTTATATACCACCAAACCCTCCAAGAGAAGCACCTGCACCAGGACTACCTAAAACATTTACATCGTCACATGGACACAGACACAGGCATGCACCAAAACCAACACAACAACCAACAGTTCAAAACCCTGCACAACAACCACCTCCACAACCAACACAACAACCAACAGTTCAAAACCCTGCACAACAACCACCTCCACAACCAGAGCAAGGACATAAAAGAAGTAGAGAACAAGGAAACCAAGAATTCTTAAAAAGGCTTAAGGAAGACTATGGTTACCCAGATAGTATTGACTTTAGTGACAGATATAAAGAAGCTATTAGAAAGTTCAAGGATGGAAATACTGACCCGGACCTATTTAGCTTTATGGCTCAGCACCAAAACGGATATAAATTCAAAAACCTGGAAAATACAGCTCGCTAAGGGATATGATTAATAGCATATCATCAAATGACATGAACGAATTTACTCCGAGATATTTGATGTCAGAGCTAAATGACAATTCAACTCCCGTCATGAAACGCGTAAAAAATAGAGACGGAACGAAAGAAGAAAGGTTTATGAGTCCGGATGACTTAGATAGGGAAATTGTTGAAAACGGTCTCGGAATATATGAAATGCCAGCAGATGAGGTAAAGAAACTCCACAGGAAGAACTAGTTCAGATACAACCAGACATGGAAGAAATAGTTCAGCAACAACAGCTAGAAGAGCCTGAAGGAAACGAACAAGTCACTCTTTGGAAACTAACTTCACAGAACTAGATGAAGATTTGGAACAGCCGAAAAATCTTGACCCTCAACAAGAGTATGCGGAGAATATGGAATATTTCCAAGAGTCTAAAAAAAATTCGGCTGACATAGTAGAAGAATATCGAAAAATGTTTGCCGACATACAAAAGACTCCAACACCAGATGAAAATATTCAGCATAGAATGGAAGTACTGAAAGAAAATGTACACAAATACAACAACCCTTTTTACTTACGAGCATTTAACGTTCAATCTTTGGATGAACTCGGTGAAAATAAAAGGTTAATTTTCAAGAAAACATATAGAAATGAAACATTGTTTAAAGTTCATTCAGAACCTAACCAAGATGGAAACAAACCTACTTTTGTTTCTGCAGACGATGGAACTACAATGAGATGGGGTCATAAAGCTAATCCGGATAGGTGGTTCATAAACTTACAACCACAATTCCAAGAAGTTGTAGACGCAATGGAATTGAATGGTGAACGAGATATAGCTGGTATTTTAAGCGCGGCTTTAATGCCATTGAAAGATATGAAACATGCAGATATTTTGGACCAGTATGAAATGAACATGGCTGATGGAAATATAACACCTGACGTTCTAGAACATTTATCTCAAAGAACTACACAGAACCATAGAGATGGTATATTTGGTGAAGAGTTTAGAAAGAAAGTTAGGGAGGGAGAAGGAAGAGAACCTATTGTACATGACCTTGCAAACGAAAGTTTACAAAATGTCATAAAAACTTACTTTGCAGACAATGAACTGAGAAGGGATGAATATTTAAGAAAACTCAAATGGACAGTACCAAATGAAATGTTAGTATTGAAAAACATGTTCCTTGACAAAATAAAACCAACTACAGAAATAAACGACGCAAGACTGAAAGATTGGGTAAAAGCTTTCCCATTCACAAAAGATATTGTTGGTAACATGGAAAGAAAACCAGAATGGCTACAAAAACATATATTTGGAAACGAGCATATTCCATATGGACAGGCACTGTTTGAAGAGCTTGAACCGGAAACTCAGGACAGAGTCATGCAAACAATAAGCGACGACTCAAATACAAACTATGACAAACTCTTTCTAGGATATAGGTTACCTGAGATGGGCGACCAGAGCCCAAAGGCAAAAAGGACATGGAAAATTTGCAACATACTAGATGAACATGAGGCAAAGATGCAACAACTTCAAGCAGAGGGCAAGTTACCAAAGCGACACCAAAGAAGAAGAGTAGAACAAAGTGAAAGTAGTGAAGAAGTAACTTCATCTAGTGAAAGTAGTGGCATGAAGGAAAAAGAAGAGTTAAAAACTCAGTCAGGAAGAAAGTAAAGCTTGGTCACGTGGGTTCTATTATGACACATAAACCCAACTATTCTATATTTTTACCCATATGAAATGTACGCCGCTCAGAATATAACGCCAACAGTTTTGGATGCTATGAATGGAAATGTTTCCGAATGGTATAACGAATGCGACAATGCCATTAGAAGGTCAGAAATAGTTCCTGGAACTTACGAATATACAACTGCTGTTTCTTATGGAAACGTAGGTGAGTTTGGAGAAGGTTCTTCAACAACAGTAGATATTGCTTGCGACAGGTTTCATATAATTTCTATTGACAACTCTTTCTTATACGTGGAACAAGACATTGAAATAAAACCTTCTGCAAGTTGTCTGACAAGAAAGGTTGCAATGGAATTTTCTATGTCGGATACCAATATGCTCCAGAAGTTTTCATGGGATATAAGATATATTCTAACTCTGACTTAGTTCAAACAGTAACATGGGCAAACTATGAATGGTTCGCTTGAGAAACTCAGTACAACACACAGCTAGAGAACAAACAACAGCAGTATGCCACCATTGAGAAAATAAGAAGACTTGACCCTAACGTTCCAGGAGTTTATGTTAACCTTTCTGGACAAACTGCAGCAGCAGTAACCAAAGTAAAATTGAAACTTAGAGTTCCTTTGTCATCTTTCCTCATCTTCAGGTTTTTAAGATACTTGCCAAACTGGGCAGGAAAAATTTCTATCGAACTTACTCCAAGCAAAAATAACTTAGTCATTGCACCAACGCAAGACCCATTCACTCTTACAGACGTAAAGGGAGCAAATCAAACGTCATTCGCCGACTTTTGCAAAGACAAAGTTGACTTAGACTTTGGTTTCTCAAACCTCAACACTGAAGTAAACTACTACTTCAATGCTGCTGGAACTGCTTGGGACCCAGTTAAGTTCACATGCGAAAAATTTGAATGCAAGAGAATAGAAAGCAGACTTGCAGTCTATATGTTGGACCCAGATATTTCAAATGCTTTAGCTGCCAAATATATTGCAGTTCCACTTATGTTCCCTATACACCAAATATCTGTCAAAGACTTTGCAGGTGAAGTTGGAAACCAAAGTGCTGACCCAGGTGCAAGAACAGATATTGCTTTAACAACTGCAATGAAACATGCAGATACTATGTTTGTACTGTTCAGACGAACTATAAATGACTATTCTTGCTTCTACAACCCTGGTATTAAATACCATATAAACATAGATGGCAAATACTATCCAAGAGAAGAATATTCTACAGTTGAGGATATGAGGTCATACAACTTGACATTAGATGCTATGAACTTTAACAACAACTTCACAACAACCATTAACCCTGAAATGCAAAGTTCTATTATGCCATATGTGAAAGTATGGACCCATACAGGAGCTCAAAAACTCAATATACAAATGGAGACCGTTCAAACTTTTGGCTTGGCATTCCATTTGCTGACTCAGAAGACTTTATGGGTGGTATTTCAACTGTTGGTACAGTTCAAATACAATATACTGGTGACAGAGACGGTCCAGATGAATTGAAAGCAAAGAAGTTTACAAAACCAATAGCACTTTTCACGGAAGATGCTCTTTTGAAAATTCGTTCGATGAAACCTGCTGGAGCTCCTCAGATTGGCATAAACGACAGCTTCCATCGAGCAGATTTTGGCAGCAGGTCAGTAAGTTGTTCTTGAACTGACTTCTCTCCGTCAAATATTGACAGTACGCCAGTTTTGACATAGTATTGTATTATAAACTTACCTTTAGAAATATCGGTCAGTTTTGTTGTTATATTTTTGTCTGCTTCAAGAACTTTCACCATTTCAGTTATACCAACTTTCTTTGCTTTATGAAAATATTTTGGTTCAGCAAAGACTGCTATTCTATAACATTTTCCATTGTTTGTATAAAGAACTATTCTATCAATGAACTTGTATTGTTTGTGTGTGTAAACTTTGTTCTGCTTCAATTCGAAGAGATACTCAAATACGTCCATCTTTTTATTCTAAGTAAAATGTCATTTCCGAAAAATAGAAGCGTAAGTGTTTCAAAAGGTTTAATGGCGGCAGATGTGAAGTTAAATTCACCAACTCAAACAAACAGTCAAAGTGTTGTTGTCAATGTCAAAGACAGAGATGTTGAAGTGGGGAAACCATACGAAGACGAAGATGGTATAACAATAGTTCCTGTAAAAGAACCAACATACCCTGAAGTTAGCAGAGACTTAAGTTCTGTTGCAGATATTCGAAACGACTACCAACAACTTAAAGACAAACTTAAAACTCAGGAGAAGATTTGTCAAGCTTTAGGTATAATGTTAAACTTGGTCGAACACAACCCTGTAAAAGTGAACTCATATGTCATCGCACCTCATGAAATTTTGAAAGAACTATTGAAACTTTTGACAGAGGCAGACGATATAAACATCAAAGAAATAGAACCCGACATTGCTTGCTGTGGTGTTTCATATAATGTCATTGACAAGATATACGTTATGAAAGGAGGTGAAACGTTGAACTTAAAATATAGTTTCCCAGACGTCATAAAAATATTTGACGACCACAACATTTCATTAAAATTTACTTGCTAAGTAAAAATGTCAAAACTTCTTGAAAGATGTTTGAAGAAAAAACAATATAGACTTTATTTCATGTAAAGGACTTTACACACTTTTGAACGATATGAAAGACCCTGTTTTGTTTTGTTCGTGTAGACAAAGGAAAGTTCTATGTCTTTACAAAATATTTGAACTTCTTAGACAGAGAACTTCAAGAAACGCCATGTGAAAGTTTAGATGAAGTTCTTCTCCACTTTCAGAAAAACTTTTAAATATATGTAAATGGCAGAAGACATAGTGGTTTATACTATTACGACTAAAAACCCTGAGTCATATAATTCTATAACAACAAACTTACAAAGTCCTCAAGGACGATATTGTAAACTGACCTTAAACACGATGACGACTAAAGCCTGTTTGCTCTTTTGACACCAGAAGATTTTATTGTTGTGAATGGTAAAAAATACTCCTTTGAAGATACTTACTCAGATATACCACAACAGGTTTTGTTGACTTATTTAATACTTTAAGGACGGATTAGCATGTGCTGCAACTAGAGCAGGTTTCATTATGTTTGGATGTCCGACTGAGTTTAGTAGAAACGATATGAGCTATAATACAAAACTTATATCTGGTTTTTACTACCAACAGTTTCCTATAACAGGAAAAGGTGTCATACAAGGAATGTCTGTTCCATTGACTTTAAGTACACCTATTTTATATATTGTTTCAAACTTAGGTTCAAAGTGCTATTCGAATGTCGACAGAAACTACTATGACCAAAAGATACTCATGCGTATAAACAACTTTCTCTGCTGGTTGGCCTATTGTTCATTCGAATGCAGAGTTTTCAGCTTTAGTAAACTCAAACACTTTAGCAAACATAAACTTAACCTTAGTTGACGCAAACTTTGTTCCTGTAAAACTTTTATGTCCTATGTATTTGTCAATGACGGCAGAAAGTTTCGAATTGGAAGATGCAACTGGTGAAAGTATTGTACTACAAGAACAACTTCAACAACAAATAGCTCAAGAACAACAAATGCAACAAATGGAACAAAATGCAACAACAAGCTCAAGAACAACAAATAGCTCAAGAATAAAAAAATATTTTTTTTATTTTTTATAAAAAATGTACAGAATAGACGTTTCAGATTTTTATGACTTCCAAGCGTTCAGAAATATGTGTCCATTTAGAGACTATAACAAAGCAGTCGAGAATTTGAAACGTTTAGTCATTTATGTTGACTCTGCCCCAGAATGTTATGTCATGAAAGAATGGGATGTTGTCTTTAACAACCTAAAGCGACAATAGTTTCAGAACAAGAATGTAAACAGAAACTTAAGAAAATAAAAGTCGTACAAGTTGGTATGAAGATGTTAGATGCTTGGGATATCTTATTGTCAAACTTGAAGATTTTTCAGTTCGTGGTATAAAGTTCTATACACCTTCTCCAAACTTCTATTCTATCTTCACTGGATATAAATACGAACAAGTAGAATGGAAAGAAATGTTATAAGAAGCTTGGTTAGCCCATGTCAAAGAAATTATATGCAATGGAAACGAAAGAGTCTATGAGTATATCTTATGTTGGTTTGCAAACATCTTACAACATCCAAGTGCTAAAAATGAAACTGCTCTCATTGTAATTGGAAAACAAGGAACAGGTAAGAACACTTTTCTTTACAGATATCTTATGCAAACTGTTAGAGGCTATTCGAACCCTAATATGACAAACTTAGAAAACATCTGCGGAAATTTAACTCTTCAATAGAGAATATGAAACTATAGTATGTAACGAACTTCAAAGTATAGATACAACAAAGGTTTTAAACTCAGATGCTTTGAAGAGTCTTATAACAGACAAAGTTGGAGTTGTTGAAAGAAAGTATAGAGACCAAAGAGTTTGTGAAAATGTTGCAAATTTCATCATGGTTTCAAACAATGCCGTTCCGATGAAGTTAGAAAGTTCTGACAGAAGATATGTAGTTGTCAGAACGTCAGATTCTCATATGCAAGATACAGAATTTTGACGACTTAGCAGAAACTTTAACACCTAACTTTTACAACCACTTGTTCTCATATTTCATGACATTAGATATTTCAAAGTTCAATCCAAGACAAATTCCACATACCGAAGAGAGACAAACATTGTTAGAAGCAAACAAGAGTGTATATGAACTGTTCATAGATGAAACTGACTTTGAGTGTTTAGATGAAAGGTCATTGTACGATTCGTATAAACAGTATTGTCAAGAGTATGGTTATATGACAGCGTCTAAACGAACATTTTGGCAAATGTCAAAAATCTTTTAGACGTACAGAATGGTGTATATACAAAGAAAAATTTTTCTGAGTAAATTTTAAAAAAATATTTTTTTTATCCGATAGAAAAGATGACGAAATTCATCTCAGTCAACAAGTACATGTCAGGACTTAAAGAAGAACTAGACCCATTCCAATATTTGAATGTTTACTCTACCATTTGAAAAGTCTACATTTGACAAAGTTTGGAACATCGAACCAGTTAAGTTTGCTATTGTGACTAAAAATGGTGCGAAATTTGAAGACTTAGACATAGAAGGTTTGTTAACAGTCAAAGAAAGTTTTGACAGAAGGTTCTCAAACCTTAAAGAAGGCAAAGCATACAAACTTGTTATACCTTATGAACCAAAGAAAGCAGACGACTATGAATATTATGAGTCTAAGATAGTTGAAGTTCAAGGTAAATTGGGTAAAAAGATTTTAGAGTCTAAGCCGGTGTTTGCTCCTAAAGAGGAAGAGAACATTGACATTGACCCAGAAATGTTCTAAAAATAAAATTTTTTATTTTACATGTCAAATTTCTTTTTCTCTGGCTCTGGTTCTTTCTTCTCTTCTTCTACTTTCTCTTCTTTTCTTTTCTCTTTCTCTTCTTCTTTTCTGGTGGAGTTATGTCAAACTTCTCAGAACCATATTTTTGTAAAAGGTCTTTGTCCTTTAATAGCTCTTCTATTCTGTTTTCTATTTCATTTTCAAGAACAGCGCATGTGTCTTCTTTGCATTCTAAGAAGTTTTGTTGGACTTCATCTCTCCAAGAGGCGTCATCTCTGTCAACAAGTCTGTCATTGACAAATTTTAAGACTTCTCTGCTTAAGGTTTTATGGTTCTTGTCATATTCCCAGAAACAGAACTTTAGAACAAATTCACCTTCTTGTTTACACTATGTAAGATTTTATGGTCGACAATGTTTTGCTGTCGAAAGCTTGTCTCGAATATAGATAGCGAAATCGCTAGACATTTTGTAAAAGATAAAAATTTTAATTTTTCTAAAAATATGTTAGAAAAAAGTTTGCTGACATTGACAAGAAATTTGAGAATGTTTTAAATAAGAACAAGAGGAAGTTGGAAAATGCTCAGATAAAACCCATACATGACAAGTTCTTATTTGCTCAGAATGGTATAACAGGTCTAATTGCACCCCTGGGTCGGGTAAGACTTTCACTTATCTTAAAATGGCTGCACAACAACAAGAACTAGATGAGAAGAACCCATTCTATGAGTTAGTAGTCATTTGTAGTACTTCTGGTCAATTTGACCAAACCGTCAATTCGTTCAAAGATATTATAAAAAAGTCTAAGTTAGTATGTATAAAAGACTCTGAGTTGTTAGATTGGATAAAGAAGTACCAAAGAAGAGTTTTGAAGTACAATGCTATAAATGAGTATGTCAATTCTAAGTTTAAAGACCCAAATGAGGAAATGCAGAGAATATTAGAGAAGAAACACTTCAGAAACAAACAGAAAGAGATAGAATACATTTCGAAGAAATTGCAATCTTACGATTGGAAGACTTACCCTCACAGATGTCTTCTTATCTTAGATGACTTTGCTTCTCATCCTTTGTTAAAGAACAGAGAACAAGACATGTGTCGAATTCTTAAGAAGCTCAGACACTTTAACATTTCAGTTGTCATTTGTGTACAGACAGCAAAGAGTTTAAGTAAGGATGTAAAGAGAATACTTACTGATATCATACTTTTCCCCGGATTGTCCGAAGACGATTTCATGGAACTTATGAAAGAGTCCATGGCAGGTAAGTTTGACAGACATGAACTATGGGAGAAGTACAAAGTCATACAAGACCCTCATACTTCTTTCAGAATTCATATCTACGCAAACAAAGTTCAAATTGTAAAAAGTCAAGCGTAAAAATGTAAGTGTTTGAGTCTTAGTCTGTTGTGGTGCTGGGGCTGTCGGTTCTTCTGGCTTTGGAATGGACTCGGTTGGTGGTACGTCGGACATTCGTTTGTGTCCTGTCGGATGGAAGGACTTTTCCTGTCGGAAAGAAAAACTTTTCCTGTCGGAAAGAAAAACTTTTCCTGTCGGAAAGAAAAACTTTTCCTGTCGGAAAGAAAAACTTTTCCTGTCGGAAAGAAAAATTTTTCCTGTCGGAAAGAAAAATTTTTCCTGAAGGTCGGCCAAAAAGTTCTCAATTTTCGAAAATTTGAATGGTTTACGGACGGACAACTGGAAAAATTTTTCCTGTCGGAAGGAAAATTTTTTCCTGTTGGAAGGAAAATTTTTTCCTGTTGGAAGGAAAAACTTTTCCTGTTGGAAGGAAATTTTTTTCCTGTTGGAAGGAAAAACTTTTCCTGTCGGAAGGAAGGACTCGGAATGCCAGAAGGACTCGGACAAGACAATTTACCTTATAGAGCTACCTGAGCCATCTTTGGTGTCAAGCTTGAAAAATAAATGGTTCATTTACTCTTCCTCTTTGAAGTTATCGAAATACTCTGTTATTTTTTCTTTCAGTAGCGGCAAATCTTCTTTGAATGTAAGTATTGTACAACCTTTCATATCATAGTGTGTTTGAGGTAACGTATCTTGAACTATCTGTTTAACATCTTCATTTGGTGTCATTGAAATCGGTAAGTTTTCGCGATAGAACCAATTTCTGTCAGATTTGTAAATCTTAGCTAAGTCGTAAAAGCTTTTGTTGTTTCTTCTGACTAAATGCAACATAACCATATCTCTGTCTTCTTCATTTTCCATCTCTTCAGTGTAAATCATATACTTATAGTTCTTTTCCTTTCCTTTTGGTACCGAACGTGGTATTCTTTTCTGTATGTTTTTGTCTTTTGCTTCAAGCTTGTTCTCTAGCTCTTCACGTTCTTGTCTATGAAGTTCATCTAACATCATGAAAATATAACAAGCGTAACGAGGTGAAGCCCACATTGCAACAGCATTTACTAAAAGTCTATGTACATACCAACCTCTCAAACCATTTGGCAAATTTTGACGATTTTCGTACGGAATCTCGACCCGCGGTTTTCTACCGGTCGCAAACATATGAGGAAATTCTTCTAAAAGTTCTTTTGTCTGTTGGTTTTCAAACCAATGACGTGCTTGCTTTGTAGAACGAAGAGCATTCAAAATACTTTGCATTTGGTACATGTCATCTTTGACCGAACGAATGAGACGGAGTTGTTTGTTATACTGTATGTACTCGTATTCTTCATCTATAGCTTCATGAACGATAGCAGTTGTTGTGTTCTCTGTTGTTGTCATATCTGTCTTTACATACAAAATAAAAAATAAAATAAAAATAAAATTAGCGTTATTTTCTATCTTGTATAAAAGACCAAAAATAAACGCTTTACATGTATTTTTCAGCAACTTCGTCAAATAATTTTATAGCTTTGTCGATCTCATCTACTTCAAACGTTTCTTTACCTCTCGTGGGAGCACCATACATTTTCTCAAACTTTTCAAGTAGTTCTGTTTCAGCAGCTCTCATATCGTTAACAAACACAACCTTAACTCTATTGACTATACTGTCATATCTTTGAGTTATATTAAATGTTCTTCCTATCTTATATCTCTTTGTATTGAAGTCCTTCGGTTTCTGAACGATGTAAAGTAAGCCTTCACTGCAACGTTCTGTATCGAATGAACCATATGTTATGAAATTATATCCAACAACTGGGTCAATCCAGAACAAAACTACTGGTATAAGACTTTTGTCTATAAGATATGCTCTTGTTCCATAGAATCTTACTGATATAATAAGCTCAGGATTTCTTGTCAAAATTTTCTGAGTTGAAGCATTTTTAACCCAGTCGTGTGCTTTCTTTCCTTCAGATAGTGTTAAAATGTCTGACAAAGAATATTTTTTGTATTTCTTTGAGTATCTTACGTTTAAATCACCTATTCTAACCACTTTGGTCTCATTGTCTATCTTTTTAACTGTTTCAAACTCAGTGCTTGTCATTTCCTGTTCTTACATACAAAATAAAAAAATAAAAAAAAATAAAACTAACGCTATTTTTTATTTTTTCTATCTTGTATAAAAGATATGATTTCAGGGAGTTTTTTTACGATTTTCATGAGTTTTATGCAAGACCGAGAAAAGTCGGTCTTGCAATTTTTCACGATTTTCATAGAGTTTTTTTACGATTTTCGAATGGAATCTCTACCCTCGGTTTTCCGAGGGTAGCAAACATATGAGGAAATTCATGAAATTTGGTCATTTTTTCAGCAAAAATATATTTTAGATCTAACCAGGTCCCTCGGTCCCTCGGTCCCTCGGTCAAATGAACTTCTCTGAAAAAGTGTGACAACATGACATTTTGACAACAACACAGGAGATAGATTTCTTCGTCAATGTTTTGTTGAGACTTCATCGTCAATGAGTGTAAATCAGACAAAAATATATTTTAGGTGAAGAGGTGAGATCTCACCTGTTTTCTCACCTCTTTTCTCACCCCATATGTCCTTACTGAAAAAAGTACGTGTTCCATATGTCATTTTACTCAGAATTCAGCAAAAATATATTTTAGGTGAAGAGGTGAGATCTCACCTGTTTTCTCACCTGTTTTCTCACCTCTTTTTCACAAGCGTTTTACATGAATTGTACGATGTATATTTGAAATTCTAAACAGTTTTGTAGCTTCTATTTCTTCTGTCAGTATGTCAAAAGTTTTAACAATGCCGAAGGTTTCTTTATATTTCTTCTTGACATCTGAAAGAAGGAAATCGTCAGCTGTTGGATAGTTTTTGTTTAGAAATGTCAACATGTCCATTTTATCTTCTGCTGGTTTCTCTGCTTCGTCCTTTAAATCAGCATAGTCGTTTCGCATTCTTTCTATCTCTTTGACGGAGTAGTTATATTTCCTCATTGCTGCTTTACATTTAGAACATTGTGGGTTCATTTTAGCATTGTACATTGAAATAAAACCTGCAAGTATGACTAAGGCGTCAATGGTTTTCTTTAACTCAAAAGTTGCTGGTTTTATCTGTTCGTTCCATACTTTACCTCTTTTATCTTTATCTCTTATCTGCCATACACATTTTGCAACTAACGAAACAAAGTTGTCGTAGGTCTTAAATTCTTCAGATTTGTATATGTCAGAGATGTTCTTATATAACATATCGCAATCTTTGTCCATAACTTTGTGGTTGCAATGAAATCCAAGAAACTCATAGTTTACCTTACGTATGAACTTCTTGGTTTCTACTGAGTCAGTTGCTTTGACTTCTATTTCATCGAATTCTGGAATAGTGAGCTTTTGTTGTTGTATTTCAGGAAGTTTAGGTAGATGGTCAATAATATCCTGCATTTCATAAAGATATTCTTCATTTGTTTCATCTTTCGCACTACAGTCTAAATCTCCTTGGAGAAGTTCTTGCTTTATCTTCTGGATTTCTGTTTCGAAAGTATATGAAGAAGGAATGAAGCTTTTCATCTCTACTAACATTGAAGTTGGGTTCATGACTAACGAGTTTGGTGAAGTTGTTGCTAACATGTTCTTACAATAAAAATAAAAAATATTTTTTAAAAAAAACTAAAATATATTTTTTATCTTAAGGAAATTCATGAAAATTCAACGGGTGAGAAAAGAGGTGAGATCTCACCTCTTCACCTAAAATATATTTTTGCTGAGTAAAATGAGTTTTGTGTGTTTTCTACGGTGGAGCCAAAAATGGCTCGACCTCAAAACAAGCATTTCGTGAAGAATATACCAACCCGCGGAATTCCGCGGGTTGCTTTTTATACAAAACATTGACGATGAAGTCTCAACAAAACAAGCATTTTGTGAAGAATATACCAACCGCCGGAATTCCGCGGGTTGCTTTTTATATACAAAATTCAAGAGTTTTGTGTGTTTTCTACGATGGTACAAAAAAATGGTTCATTTACTCACAATATTTTTGTACAAAAAAGGACCCCAAACTTTTAACCTCTCTTCTGCAGCTTCTAATGAAACTTTAGCGAGTTCATATTCTCTAAATTCTCTCTTTAAATCTTCTTGTTCCCATTGGTCTAGTTCGTATGGAGAGTCTCTATAACCAGAACATATCTCACGTTCATGTTCTATTTGTTTTTCATGCATTTTTCTAACTTCTTCTTCGAACAAAGGTTTAGCATTCTCTACTGTATCTTCAAGTTCTTCTTCATCTAATTTCTCTACGTAAGACTTCAATACCGTTATAGGTGCCTTTTGTGAATGTTTCGCCATTAGATTTGTTCGTGAACGTTTTTGCTTCGACTGTCATACTGTTCTTACAATAAAAATAAAAAATATTTTTGGCTTAACCGTCGGACATTCGTTTGTGGCTTAACCGTCGGACCACAACGATAAAAATCTCATTTTAACTCACTTTTTTTCTATCTTAAGGAAATTCATGAAAATTCAAGAGGGTGAAAAAACAGGTGAGAAAACAGGTGAGATCTCACCTCTTCACCTAAAATATATTTTTCAGTACTTTTTCAGCACTTTTCCGTAGTTGTATATGAAAGACAATTCGAGATAAAAGTCATAGTACAATGGTATAATATGCTGCACACCGTTTGTTGTGAACCAGACTTGAAAGTCAGAGAAACTGTTACTAGGTGGTTCGTAGAATTTAGAAGCAAAGTCATAAAAGTCCTTACCGATACACAGAAAACTGTTGTTGCTTGAACTGAAACTTGCATGACACATGACATTTTGAGGGTCGAAGACGTTTCTATAAACTGTCAAATCTGTTGGTGGGAGTATAAATTTAAACGGACCGTCAGGTGGCAATGGTTCGTTCTGGTTTAGTAACCGAAGAAATTGTGCCCAAGAACGTTTGTCCACCCCCCAATATAAAAACTCTGTATCTCTTGGAGGGTTATTTTCAATCCTTTGAAATGAAACTGTGGAATTCATCTTGTCGTATTCTAGTTTCAGATAGTATGTTCCATTTAGTAAAGAGTGGTATTTTTCTTGAAATTCCCAGTAGTATTTGTTCATTTGAGTTTGAAAGTCATTTAGAGTTTTTTCAAGACTTTCGTCTGAACGAATTGTAAAGATTTTCATTTCGTCAAATTTTTCTATTAGACCATCAGAACCTTTATACTGACCATGAAAATATACTGCGAACATAAACGCGTTAGTTCTATTTGAAAACAAAACTCTTCTAAATCCTATTGCCTTTGCATCTGAAGGACTTTGAAGCCAACGAATTGGATAGTCAAACCTGTATGTACGGGATGAAATTTCTTCATCTGAAATATTCCTGCCAGCATTTGTGAAGATATAGTCTAACGGTTTTGTATCTGCTACTTTTGTTCTTTGTTTTTCAACCTGAAGCATTTTATATATGTAAAAATATACTGTTTTAAAAATGTTTTAAAATGGTATGCCATATAGCTTCTTGAATTTGTTAAGAAATATTTTAACGTTTTTTCCATCTGTATCTCTAGTGTTTACATAAGCACAGCCTTCCTTAGTAAAACATACTTGTAATTTCCTATAGTTTACGCCGGTATAAAAGTAGAAAGAGTCCTGTTCTTCGCTATAGTAGTAAAACTCAAACGTATGCTTACCATAGTCTGTAATTTCAATTGTTTCATCTTCTAGTTCGTCGACAAATTCGAATACTATATCTCCAAATTTGCCTTTGTTCTTATTGTTTTCAGAACGAGTAACCCAACGTAAATTTTCAAGTCTATTGTCATTTCTTATATGGTTTATATGGTCTACAAAAGGTAGATTGTTAGAGTTCGGTATAAAATGAGTTGCAATGACAACATGTTTAAGATAGTTTTTTCCACCCATCCTCATAATAGCATATCCTTTATTTCCCTCACATTCGCTTAAAACTCTTTTTGTCTTTTTGTTTCTGACTTCAAATGACTCACAACAGTGAATTTCATATTTCTCATCTAACAAACAAGTTTCCCAACGGTCCTTTCCAACAAACTCAGCGTACATTTCAAATAAAATAAAAAAATATTTTTTTTGAAAAAATGTTTTATTTCATGCAATGTTTTATTTCATGCAATGTTTAACTATTTCACCATCTTCTTTAACACCCCAATATTTCCTTTTCGATATTACATGAACTTCGGAAAATACCTTGTCTAGCTTAAAACAGCCCATCTTCTCACCGACTAAACCCATTTCAATGAGTTTGTTGTATCCTTCTTCGTTCGTCATGAGTGCGTCAATGTTCTCATAGTATACCTTCACTTTGGATTTAACTTCCGAGAAAAATTTGTTGTAGTTGTCAAGGACTGCCTTTGCGAACTGAGGATAGGACCAATGTTCGACAATAGGTTTTACTGTGGTTACTAAGCCACATTGACCTTCGGTGAACTCGTATTTCAAAACAAAAGGGGAGAACCTTTCAACAAAGTTGTCGACCTTCTCATAGTGTTTACTCTTCATCTTTTGAGGTTTCTTAATGAAATATCCCCATGTCGAATTCATAAGCAATTTGATTGTCATTGCAAGTTTGGGGTTTGAAGCTTTCCTAATATCATAGAGTTGTTGTATGACCTTTCCAACTGTATAGTTCCTTCCCGGGAACTCTCCATCTTCGTTTGGAATTCCAGTCGGGATATATTGGACGAACCTCATGTACGCAGCGTTAAGGTCGACATAGTATATTTTTTCATATGAGTCGAACTTATCGCATCCAATCGGCCCAGTTCGTGGAAATTCAAGTGAGTCTCTTATCTTTTGAGAAACTTCTCCTGTTATCTCATAAACATCGTCGAAGCAACCTGTTTCATATAAAACCTTCTGACCTAACTCAGATGCTCTCCAATACAATTTGACGTCGACTGGATGCCTCAATGGAAGTTTGTTTATAGCATCTTGAAGTTCTTGCAACCTCATTGGAAGTTCTTCTGGTTCAGGTTGGTATCCGAACAATCCAACTCCTTTTGGAACTGTGTACTTCTTTTGTGCTATAACTTTGTCTGGAACAACTTTTGGTCTTACCAACAATGAAAAGTTTGTTTCGTCTTTTGGTACAAAAGTTTCTGTCAGCTTGTCATCTGGAATTGGTTCCAACAAACCTTTCTCGAAAAGAATGTTAACAGCTCTGACAATGTTGCACTTACCTTTTCCGAACAATGGGTTTGTAAGACTTTCGTTCAACATGAAGTGGTTGTGGACAAGTACAATCTTCAACCATGGCAATTTGAAGTCAACAACATAGTCGTCATGTGAAGAACCTTTCTCAGTCGGAATGTTGACTCGGATATTCACATTTGCCAACGGTGCAATTTTTGTCAATTGACCTCTGAGAATGTACCTTGTTTTCACACATGACTCAAGATACTTCATCTTCTCATCTGTAACAAGACCAGAGTTCCTGAGACATGTAAGAATACAAGGTTCATTGACAATTTTTTCAATTGAATTGTAAATTCCATACCTTGTTAAGTCAATGTCAGACTTATTTCTGAACGGGAAATACCCAGCATGTTGTCTGACTGCTTGAGGGTTGGGTTGGTACCATTCGAACTTCACGCTTGCAATTCCTTCAATTGCATTCAAAATATCTGAGTCGGAGTCAACCATTTGTTCTCTCTTTGTAGTCTTGAAAGCGTCAAGAAGTTGTGCGGCTGTTGTGACATTGCCATGTGCATAGTATATGTGACCATCTAAATCTGTTACGGTTAGTCTGAGATTGTATCCTTTCTTATTTCCGTCTTGAATTGCAGCAAGTACTCCCATGAAGCCTTCTTTGTTCTTTCCTTCGTCAAAGTTAACTGTAAAGGTTCGACCAGATGTAATTTTACTTCTAACTTCACGATACTTTTCATATGCATATCTTGTTCTTTCCATGGGGGCATGTGCATCTTCACCTTTTCCTTTTTTCCTTCTCAAAGGATGCAATTGTTCGTCATGTTTCCAGTAGAATCTGGCAAAGCCGTCGTGTCCTTCAACTTGAGGCTCATTAACATCGAAAGGCATGTCCATAAGACGCTCTTCTTCTAACCTCTCTAGTCTGTTTGGATAATTTGCGCGTGCTGTTTCCAAGTCCATTTCGTAGCGAAGACCAGCCAGTTTGTCATAGACTTTTATGGGTCTTCCCTTCCTATATTTAAAATTCTTTGAAACTCTCCAACCATATCTTTCTAACTCTGCTTTTATTCTAGCAGACCTTCTATCCATTCTATACGGGGGCATTTTATAAAAATAAAAAAATGTTTTTTCTTTACTTTACATAACCACCGGCTACCATAAGTCTTTGACGCCAACCCATACCAGCTAATGAAGGTTGACTTGGTTTAGTTTGAAAACTAACCTTTGGTTTTGGTTTATCTTCAGTTTTTGGCTTCCCTTCTTCTATTGGTTTTTCGTCACTTTTCGGTTCATCTGACTTTACCTCACTTGCTTGAACAGTTGTGTCGTCAACATCTTCATAAATGTCATATGCCATTTGTTTTTGTTTTCCTTTCAACTTTTTGTGTTTGTTGTAAAGTTTAGAATATTTCGACTCTAAGTCAATGAGATGTTCTATAATGAACTGTTGGTCAGTGAAGTAAACTTTTCCATCTGTTGTCTCGAAAGCTCCTTCAGACTTCAATATTTTATTTGTGAGAGTCTGTTTCTTTTTTGAGATACTAGCCGTTCCATTTTTATGAAAAGTGACTTTGTAGTTAGAGTTTGTATTTCCAGACCTGGCACTTTCTATTATTGAATTTTTCTCTTCATCTGTAAGTTCTTTGACAGGTTTTGACAATGGTTCTGAACTTTTTGTTTGTGGTGTCAAATCTACCGTTTCAACTTCTTCGGTCATTTCATCTCAGTAAAAAATTTTAGTTTGGTTTGTTTTCAACTGGTTGTTGTTGTTTTTTAAGTCGGTCTAAAACTTCCTGAGGTATAGGAAGAACTTGACAAACACGTGGTTGTGTAACTGCTGGAAGCCGACAAATCCATCTTGAGCCCATTTGTCTCAATGCTGTATTGTTCATTTCATCTCAGTAAAAAATTTTACATTCCCCACGTTTGAGGTGGTTGAGGTTTTGTTGTTTACCCACTGTTGTGCATGGTTATATCCTCTGTTAAAGAATCTTTCACCTTGGTCCATGTAGTGCCCTGCTTGGTTATAGTAGTCATTTGCTTTGTTATAGTAGTTTCCTGCTTGTCTTCCTACATTGTCCATCCATCCTTGAACTTTTCCTCTTGTTTCAGGATTTGGAATAAGATTTGCTGCATCTCGTGCTACCTCCCAACCTTTCTGTACAGTTTGTATAATAGGTTGTGCTTTCTCTTTCAGTATACCTAATGTACTCAAAATCTTCCTTCCAATTCCAAATGCACCTCTGGCTATTGTTCCCACTGCGGGAAAAATCTAGATGCGACTCCTGCTAATGCGCCAAATAAACCCATTTCTTATGGGTTAAAAATGACGAATTCAAACAAGGACCCGTATGTTTCTAAAGCGACAAAGAAAGCACTCATGGTAAAAATCTTTAGTTCAACACCAAATGCTTGGTTTATGGATATCTTGGAAAACATTCCGAGATATAGAGAAGATGGACCTCCATACTGGCTAATATTTGTCGGTCAAAATACAAGATACTGTGAAGCCATACCATTATGGTCCAAAAATATTTTAGATGTGAAAACTGCTTTGACAATATTCGTTGACAAATACCATCCAACAAAACTGACATCTGACTGTGAAAGTTCTTTCAAATCAGACGATATTAAAAACTATCTGCGTTCAAAAAATGTAAACCAATATTTCATTGTCGACCAAAACCATTCTGCTCTTGGTGTCATTGACAGTTGTATAAAAATCTTAAGAGACTTAAATCAACCACAAGGTGGTGAGGTAGATGAAATGTCATATGACGACAAGTATAGACACTTCTCCATGGCAAAGATGAGACAAGTTTTAAATATTTACAATAGCCGTAAACAAAAAGGTTTGGGAAACCACTCCCCCGAAGAAATGAAAAACAACCCGACTTAGAGAAAGACTATATATTTAATAGTTTAGTCAAAAGAGACAAACAAGAAAGAATGCCAGGCTTCAAACTTAAGAAAGGTGACAAAGTAAAAATAGAAATACCTAAACGCGACCCATATGAAAATACTATTGACTATGACAACAATGGGAACTCGACAGGTACTCACATTCGTGTTCGTAAAAATAGAAGAAAGTATACAAGAGAATATTATGAAGTTTTAGGCAAACATGGCAAAATGTACAGACTGCAAGCAGAAGATAAAACTACTATTGTCAGACCTCGTTTCAAACTTGTTAAGGTTCAAGGTGGTATACTTTCAAAGACAGTTCCTAACAAATATAAGACAACTCCTGACGAATATGCTAAAGAAGTTGAAAATGACGACTAAGCATTTCTATACCATGCGTAAACTGTCATGTAAGGTGGCATGTAGTCTTTACTTTGTCCCGTTGTTTGCGTATATCCTGTAATGCGATGTGTATGGCTTCCTCCTCCCTGAGTGTCATCCCAGTAACAATTTATAGCAAACTTAACGTCGTCTTTAACATCATATCCTTTACCTTTTGTCATTCCTGTCCAATCCCAATATCTATGCTTATGCCAACCTGCTTCAGCTGTACTTAAATCTATGTAGTGACTGTGTGCAGGTAAGTTTTCACCTGAAATCGTTTTACTTCCACCTGTTTCCTTTGAAGAGTTTGCACAATACAAAAACCTGTCGACTATTTGAGTCCAAGTTCCGAGACCAAGTACTACTTCTGGTCTGGTAGAGTTCATTGACGTGTAAATAGAACCTATAGGATATAGTGTTTGAAGTATTTCTGTCTTTAATGTTTGAAGCTCTGTTTTGTCTGCTTTCTTATATAACTTTTCTTCAAGTTCATTTACGTCAGAGATGCTATGTCTATGATATTTTTGTGGGTATGTTCCTTCTGTCCATGCGAAAATATACTCTTTTGTTGCATCTACATATCCAGCTATCCATGTCGAGTCTGCTTTTGTATTCCTTAACTCTGTAACACCTTTCTCAAGCTCTTTCAACTGTTGTCCATCTTCCATTAAACCTCTGGTATGACTTGAAACCGTTTGTGTCAACATATCTACAGTTTCTTTGTCGGCTTTAAGGTCTAAACATCCTGAAACCCACCCTGTATTGGCTTTACCTTCTAAAATCTTCGATGTCCGTTCATGGTACCATTCAACCATTTCTTTAATTTTTTCATCTTTTTCATCCACATATTCCTTATTGCCTTCTTCACTAACCCACTAGCCAGATATGCTAACTCATCGTCAACATACTCTTTGTCAGCTTTCTTTTCAACATCCTCTTTTGTTGCATATGTTGCATCTGCTCTGTCATGTTCTTCTTGAACTTTTTCAATGACATACTCTTTGTCAGCTTTGTTGTCAATATCTGCCTTCAAAAGAAGTTCATCTATAGGTTTCTCGTTTAAAGTTCTTTTGTTGGATTTATACAAACAGTATGGTTCTTACTGTCTTGAAACAGAAACTCATCTGTCATTGGGTTTATCGTCAGTTTTAAGTTTCCTTCTTTCAATGACTCAGATATCTTAGAATAGTTTGAAAAGTTTGTTGTGTTCTTATTTAGAGCTTGCACAATGAGTTGTCGGTTGTGTTGTATTTCTCTCATAGACGCTGTTTCTTTCGACATTTTTATTCTAGATAAAATATGCTTTCAATAGAAAAAGAAAATTCAAGAGTTGCTACAACTAAACCATTAGATGAACTTTTTACGAATGTCGGTCAAAAGTTTGAGACAGAGACCGTAAAGCATGAAGGCTATCGTTTTGACTACCCACTAAGATGGCTAAGAGACCCATCCGTCACAAAAGCTATTGGCTTTCGTAGAATGAAGTTCATTTCAGAAGCCATACATGGTTTCCCATTTACGGTCGCTTTTGAAGTTCGATACTATAACAAAGAAAAACGTACGTATGAGAAATTTGAACAGGGAAAACTTTTACAAGTGAATTTGCTTGTAAACTTAGAAACAACTCTTCAAGCTTTTCAAGAAAAAATAAACGATATCTATCTCGAATATGCAAAACAGTACAACATTGACGAAGGAGAGTACCATCTCGATATTGTTTATGACAGGAAAAATGCAACTGTTAAAATCGATAGAATAGAAGACCTTGGAGAAGACGTTTATATTTCTACAAAATATAACAACTTGGCATGGTATAGATTTTTGAGGATGTTAAATCAGCCTGCAGAATATCCAGTACACCCGAACTTTTATGAAGTCGAAAACCCTAATGGAACATATGAAAATGTTTTCGACTCAGATGCTATTATAGTTCATGCTTCATTTTCTGGTGCACAAAACTCTTTTTTATGCTTGGCAAATGACTTTTACGAAAAACCTACAAAGCTATACGAACCACCAAGTGGAAGTATTTCAGACTTTCAAGTATGGTTTACTACAGATGGAAGAAAGAGAATAATTCCATTATACCACGCGTTTTACTTAGAACTTAGTTTCATATACAACTACTATCGAACGGTAAAAATATGATTTTTTAATACGGTTGAGGTGTTGGATTTGGTTGCCAACTAGACTGTGGTGCAGGTTCAGGCTGTTGTATAACAGGAGCTTGTTCTTCTGGTTCAGGGTCTTTAGGTATAATACCAACGAACTGACCTACTCTTTTGCCAATATTTTTGACTCCGTTCCATACTCCTCTTCCGACAGATTTTATTCCATTCCATATACCTCTTCCAACATTTCGAAAGAAGTTTCCTATTCTTCCAAAGAAACCCATTTTACTATATGTAAAAATCTAATGTCCACCTAGTCTCTTACGTTTCCTGTTGAGTTCCATAGCATTTTTTAACTGGAGCTCATACATTCTATTTCTCCTCTGGTAGAAAACATACTCTGGGTCAACTCCTGTGTTCGCGTCATCTGCATAGAGTTGTTTATATCCCACTTCAGGGTTTGTATAAAACTCTTTCCATCTCATATTTGCATACCATGGTGGCAAACCTAACGCAGCGTCATTTGACATGGCAGTTTGCATTTGTACATCTGTTGGCACTTGACCATAGTTTGCCATTGCAGTTTGTATTCTAACTTCATTTGGAATATTCTCTGGGTTTGGTTGTCCAGGTTGCTGTGCATTCGCTAAGTTCTGTGCGTCCATTTAATATTAGATAAAAATATCTCTTACGAGTACATATACTGAACATTTGCAGACATTGGTTCATCTTCATATTCTCTGTACTTTTCTGCCACGTCAAATAAGTAAATGACACAATGGAAAAAACCTAAAACAAGTAGTCCTATTTCAAACCACATTTACTTACCAATAAAATTTCTTTGTTGTGACACTTTCTCCAGTTTATAGGACCTCTCTCATATTCTATCTTATCGTATCTAAACTCATAGTCATGTATGTCCTCTAACCATCTCATAACGGTTTCCAAACCACTTTTATCGGATGTAAAGTAAAAGCATGGATGGTTATGTAAAACGTCTAAAGTTTCTAAAGAGTCTCTCAAAGTCCAGTCTACTTGGTATTGAAAATCCCATGTGTTATAGAACGGCGGGTCTACTATAAAGAAAACATTTTCCTTGTCTTTGTATTTTTCATACAACTCTGTCCAACGACATCTCACAAACTCTATACCCTCAGTATATTTTTCTATGTTCTCTTTGAAAACCTTTGTATAGTTAAGATATAAAACTTTTGACATAAGTGTTTCAATGTCATGAACTCTTATAGCACCACTAATAATAGTCTAGAAGATATACTATCCCAGTCAATATACTCTGCTTTTTTCAAAACCTCTCTGACAGTATTTTTCTTATCTAATGGTATACGTTCCATCTTACCTATAGGTATCTTTTCTTTTAACTCTTTCAATATTTTGTTTGTGTCTGGTATATGTTTGAGACGGTTCATATAGTTGTCGAAGTCATTGCATATAATCTTTGAGTCAGGAAATACAGTATGGCACAAATGAGATATATAGAAACTTCCACCGAACAAATCTACAAATGTTAGACCATTCGGTAGTTTCTTAAGTTCTCTCAATAGAATATCTTTACATCTACTCTTATTTCCAAAGAAGGGTAACGGTGGTTTTGTAAAATTCATTTTATATATATATAATAAAAATGTTTTTACCTGAAAAGTGACAGAAAAGTGACAAAACATGAAAACATATATATTTTGTGAAAAGCTCCTGGAAGACCCGTATATAAGAACTTCATTTATACTAAACATCTTCGGGGCTAGAGGGCACGAAGTGCCTGGAAGCCCCAATCCCTTTTTTTTTTTTTTCATATTTTGAACATTTTTTATTTTTGTTTAAAACTTAAAATTTTGCGAATTTAATATAATTTATAAAATATAATACGTATATATATTTAAAATACACTAAATTTAATTGTTAATTGACGTTTTTGGGAATGAATTTTATCAAAACATGCCTGAATCCGAAAATTTGAAAGAACGAATTACACAATCATATATGTAGAATTCAAAATACAAACTTAAAGATTGTATACGTTTAAAATTATTCAGATTGTGTTTGATTTCCACTCATTCTGTTTCTTTTGAACTCTAACACTAACATTTCATGATGATTACATGATCCATTTATACATGGTTGAATTGTTCCAGATTCTACCAGAAAATCAATCCAAATTTCTCAATGCATTCATGTTGATTGGACAAAATTTAAAATTTATCAGCCTGTTTCCAGAGAAACTCATATATTCCCTAATGAAATGTAATTTTTGCTACATTTATTTCAATCAAAGAGTAGGGGTAATTTTAGCTAAAAGTGACACACCCGTGAAGGGTGTGATTACCGATCGGTAATTTCGACAGTTTAGAATTTAAAATTTTTTATGGAACTGTTGCGAGTTTCATAAAGAATTTAAGGAATATAAGCAAAGATTTGAATCAAAATCTTAGACCTAAGCCGCTCGATTCGCTCGCGGCTTCCGCGAATTACAGATCAGCAAAGATTTGAATCAAAATCTTCGAACTAAGCCGATCGCTTCGCTCGCGGCTTTCTTTATTATTTTAAATTTGCATATTTCCATCAAAAGTTCATAAGGTAAAAAATTTCGTTTATATTATTGCAAAATAAAATCTTCATTATCAAAATAATATTAAATGATAATATAATATAATTTATAAACAACTAAAAAAAAGGTATTGGGGCTTCCAGGCGCGTTGCGCCCTCTAGCCCCTGAAGATGTTTAGTATAAAACCGCTTTTTAACTTCACTTAAAATGCCACGTAAGCTACGTAAGAATATACGTAAGAGGAAGAGAGCATTGAAACATCCAATAGTAAGACTGACACCACAACAACAGTTGCAACAACAAATGCTGAATGACCCCACTATGTTGCAACAAATGTCAAACAATCCTATGCTTTTAAACCGAGTTGTTGGTGCACAGAGTGGAGGTTTAAGAGCGGCACTTTTAGCGAAAATGGCAGGCTATGGTGGAGCTGCAGACGGAACAGCCTATAACCCTCAAAGTCAAATAAATTTGAGTTCACTCAAAAATCAAATAGCAGATGTCAAAAAGTCAAACATAGACATACAGAAGCAAATAGGTGAAAACGAAAAGAAACTAGAATATGACAGACACACAAAGAAACTCAATGAGTTAAACGTAGAGAAAAAGAAGAAAGAAGAACAACTGAAAGAACTAAGTACAGAGGAATATGCGAAAAAAGTGTCAGAAAAAGCAGCAGAAGTAGCAAAAATGGAACAAGATGTCATAAATTTGAAAAACCATACTACTCGATATAAAGTACTGAAAGATGAAGAGATAAAACAAAAAGCCCTGAAGACATATATGGATAGTGATGAGTATAAAAAAGAAGTTGAAGCAAATGTAAAGGCAGAAAAACTTTTACAGTTGCAAAACCAAACCGTACAGTATGAAAACTTAGCACAAGAAAGTAAAAATAACGACGCAGCCATGCAAAAGGCAATGAAAAGCGCGGAATATATAAAAGCTAACAATGACTGGTTAGATGCCCAAGCCAACGCCAAAGCAGCCCAGCTTATAGGGTCAATAAGGACAAAAATACAAGCGGATGAAGACAGTTCAAATGAAACTTTAACAAATGCTGACTTTAAGAACGCCTTCGAAGCTCTTCATAGTAAGGTGAAACAAGTGAACGACTTCTCATCTGGAAAGAAACTGAAGTCTGAAGGTTTCGACAAAGAGTTAAGAGAAGTAGCACAAAATATGACGAAAATAATAGATCCAGCAACGAGACAGGCAGTTCAAAGTGCCTATGACGCCGTTAGAGCAACTGTTGTGAAAAGTCAAGAAAAAGAGTTACAACAGACCAAAACAGACCTAGTAAATGCTTTCTTAAAAACGAAAAGTCAGGTAGGACATTACGCTGCAGATGGAACATATGTGCCAGCTGGTGGAACTTATATACCACCAAACCCTCCAAGAGAAGCACCTGCACCAGGACTACCTAAAACATTTACGAAGAAGTCTCAACAAAACATTGACGAAGAAGTCTCAACAAAACATTGACGAAGAAGTCTCAACAAAACATTGACAAGAAAGTTCATGAGAAATTAGATGAAGAAGTCTCAACAAAACATAGACAAGAAAGTTCATGAGAAATTAGATGAAGAAGTCTCAACAAAACATTGACGAAGAAGTCTCAACAAAACATTGACAAGAAAGTTCATGAGAAATTAGATGAAGAAGTCTCAACAAAACATTGACAAGAAAGTTCATGAGAAATTAGATGAAGAAGTCTCAACAAAACATTGACGAAGAAGTCTCAACAAAACATTGACGAAGAAGTCTCAACAAAACATTTACGAAGAAGTCTCAACAAAACATTGACGAAGAAGTCTCAACAAAACATTGACGAAGAAGTCTCAACAAAACATTGACGAAGAAGTCTCAACAAAACATAGACAAGAAAGTTCATGAGAAATTAGATGAAGAAGTCTCAACAAAACATAGACAAGAAAGTTCATGAGAAATTAGATGAAGAAGTCTCAACAAAACATTTACGAAGAAGTCTCAACAAAACATTGACGAAGAAGTCTCAACAAAACATTGACGAAGAAGTCTCAACAAAACATTGACAAGAAAGTTCATGAGAAATTAGATGAAGAAGTCTCAACAAAACATAGACAAGAAAGTTCATGAGAAATTAGATGAAGAAGTCTCAACAAAACATTGACAAGAAAGTTCATGAGAAATTAGATGAAGAAGTCTCAACAAAACATTGACGAAGAAGTCTCAACAAAACATTGACGAAGAAGTCTCAACAAAACATTGACAAGAAAGTTCATGAGAAATTAGATGAAGAAGTCTCAACAAAACATTGACGAAGAAGTCTCAACAAAACATTGACGAAGAAGTCTCAACAAAACATTTACGAAGAAGTCTCAACAAAACATTTACGATGAAGTAACTTCATCTAGTGAAAGTAGTGGCAATGAAGGAAAAAGAAGAGTTAAAAACTCAGTCAGGAAGAAAGTAAAGCTTGGTCCACGTGGGTTCTATTATGACATATAAATCCAACTATTCTATATTTTTACCCATATGAAATGTACGCCGCTCAGAATATAACGCCAACAGTTTTGGATGCCATGAATGGAAATGTTTCCGAATGGTATAACGAATGCGACAATGCCATTAGAAGGTCAGAAATAGTTCCTGGAACTTACGAATATACAACTGCTGTTTCTTATGGAAACGTAGGTGAGTTTGGAGAAGGTTCTTCAACAACAGTAGATATTGCTTGCGACAGGTTTCATATAATTTCTATTGACAACTCTTTCTTATACGTGGAACAAGACATTGAAATAAAACCTTCTGCCAAGTTGTCTGACAAGAAAGGTTGCAATGGAATTTTCTATGTCGGATACCAATATGCTCCAGAAGTTTTCATGGGATATAAGATATATTCTAACTCTGACTTAGTTCAAACAGTAACATGGGCAAACTATGAATGGTTCGCTTTGAGAAACTCAGTACAACCACAAGCTAGAGAACAAACAGACCAGTATGCCACCATTGAGAAAATAAGAAGACTTGACCCTAACGTTCCAGGAGTTTATGTTAACCTTTCTGGTTCAGATGGAACTGCTGCCACTAAAGTAAAACTGAAACTTAGAGTTCCTTTGTCATCTTTCCTCATCTTCAGGTTTTTAAGATACTTGCCAAACTGGGCAGGAAAAATTTCTATCGAACTTACTCCAAGCAAAAATAACTTAGTCATTGCACCAACACAAGACCCATTCACTCTTACTGTAGCTGGAACTGGTGGAGCCAAGTTCTGTGACTTTTGCAAAGACAAAGTTGACTTAGACTTTGGTTTCTCAAACCTCAACACTGAAGTAAACTACTACTTCAATGCTGCTGGAACTGCTTGGGACCCAGTTAAGTTCACATGCGAAAAGTTTGAATGCAAGAGAATAGAAAGCAGACTTGCAGTCTATATGTTGGACCCAGATATTTCAAATGCTTTAGCTGCCAAATATATTGCAGTTCCACTTATGTTCCCTATACACCAAATATCTGTCAAAGACTTTGCAGGTGAAGTTGGAAACCAAAGTGCTGACCCAGGTGCAAGAACAGATATTGCTTTAACAACTGCAATGAAACATGCAGATACTATGTTTGTTCTTTTCAGACGAACTATAAATGACTATTCTTGTTTCTACAACCCCGGTATTAAATATCATATAAACATAGATGGCAAATATTATCCAAGAGAAGAATATTCTACAGTTGAAGATATGAGGTCATACAACTTGACATTAGATGCTATGAACTTTAACAACAACTTCACAACAACCATTAACCCTGAAATGCAAAGTTCTATTATGCCATATGTGAAAGTATGGACTCATACAGGAGGTCAAAAAACTCAATATACAAATAGAGACCGTTCAAACTTTTGGCTTGGCATTCCATTTGCTGACTCAGAAGACTTTATGGGTGGTATTTCAACTGTTGGTACAGTTCAAATACAATATACTGGTGACAGAGACGGTCCAGATGAATTGAAAGCAAAGAAGTTTACAAAACCAATAGCACTTTTCACGGAAGATGCTCTTTTGAAGATTCGTTCGATGAAACCTGCTGGGGCTCCTCAGATTGGTATAACGACAGCTTCCATCGAGCAGATTTTGGCAGCAGGTCAGTAAGTTGTTCTTGAACTGACTTCTCTCCGTCAAATATTGACAGTACGCCAGTTTTGATATAATATTGTATTATAAACTTACCTTTAGAAATATCGGTCAGTTTTGTTGTTATATTTTTGTCTGCTTCAAGAACTTTCACCATCTCGGTTATACCAACTTTCTTTGCTTTATGAAAATATTTTGGTTCAGCAAAGACTGCTATTCTATAACATTTTCCATTGTTTGTGTAAAGAACTACTCTGTCAATGAACTTGTATTGTTTGTGTGTGTAAACTTTGTTTTGCTTCAATTCGAAGAGATACTCAAATACGTCCATCTTTTTATTCTAAGTAAAATGTCATTTCCGAAAAATAGAAGCGTAAGTGTTTCAAAAGGTTTAATGGCGATGGCAGATGTGAAGTTAAATTCACCAACTCAAACAAACAGTCAAAGTGTTGTTGTCAATGTCAAAGAAAGAGATGTTGAAGTGGGGAAACCATACGAAGACGAAGATGGTATAACAATAGTTCCTGTAAAAGAACAACCAACATACCCTGAAGTTAGCAGAGACTTAAGTTCTGTTGCAGATATTCGAAACGACTACCAACAACTGAAAGACAAACTTAAAACTCAGGAGAAGATTTGTCAGGCTTTGGGTATAATGTTAAACTTGGTCGAACACAACCCTGTAAAAGTGAACTCATATGTCATTGCACCTCATGAAGTTTTGAAAGAACTATTGAAACTTTTGACAGAGGCAGACGATATAAACATCAAAGAAATAGAACCCGACATTGCTTGCTGTGGTGTTTCATATAATGTCATTGACAAGATATACGTTATGAAAGGAGGTGAAACGTTGAACTTAAAATATAGTTTCCCAGACGTTATAAAAATATTTGACGACCACAACATTTCATTAAAATTTACTTGCTAAGTAAAAATGTCAAAACTTCTTGAAAGATGTTTGAAGAAAAACAATATAGACTTTATTTCATGTAAAGGACTTTACACACTTTTGAACGATATGAAAGACCCTGTTTTGTTTGTTCGTGTAGACAAAGGAAAGTTCTATGTCTTTACAAAATATTTGAACTTCTTAGACAGAGAACTTCAAGAAACGCCATGTGAAAGTTTAGATGAAGTTCTTCTCCACTTTCAGAAAAACTTTTAAATATAGGGTGTCCAAAGGTGCGTTTAGCACAGCGCTCTATATGAGACTATTAAAGGAGATATATGCTGATTATAAATATATAATAAAAAATATGAATATATGTATATGATGAGTATGTTGTATTTTGGCGCCATGCCGGGATATAAAATGAATTTTGAGACAAGAGGCGGTTTCGCGGGAAATTTTGGCGGGATTTTTTTCATTTTTTAATGAATCATAAAGAAAACATCCTCGCTCTTGCAAAAAAATGCAAAGACTGTAAAAAAATCTACGAGACATTGGTAAAATGCTTCGGTATGGATGCTCCTAGCTATTCCACTGTAACGTATCATGTTAGGATGTATCACTTCATGAACAAAAAGGCGCCCATCATAAAAATTGACAAAAAATCGCCGGATCAAAGAAAAATCAAAGCAATTCTTCAAGCGCTAGATGAAGACCCAAGAGCATCACTCAGAAGGATAGAGGAGATGACAAAGATACCACATACAACAGTCAGTTATTATCTGCACAATTATTTGAACTACAAACTAGCGTATACACGTTGGGTTCCGCACAACCTTAATTCAGTTCAAAAAAAATCTAGAGTCCAATCTTCGAAAGAGCTCCTCTCTATATTGGGTGCGTATCAATCCAAGAAGTTTCGCTTTTTAGTAACAGGGGACGAGTCTTGGTTTCAATATGCAACAGAAGCCAAAATCATGTGGATCCCGAAGGATGAAAATCCGCAAACATTCCCGAAAAAAAAATTGACACACCAATGATGATGTTGTCGGTTTTTTGGGGCGTGAATGGCATCATCGCAATTGATATTCTTCAAAAACCTAATACGATGAATGCTCAGTATCTAATTGACAATGTTCTTACTCAAATTATCAATTCTGATGAGTTTGAGAAATCCAAACAACAAAAACAAAAGTTTGCAATTCATTTTGATAATTCAAGAGTTCACAAAAGTCATAAGGTAATGAATTACTTGGTGGAAAACAATGCCAAAGTTGTTCCAAACCCAATTTATTCACCTGATATTGCACCCTCTGACTTTTATTTATTCGGCACGCTAAAAAAGAGAGCTGAAGGACGCGAATTCGCGAGTCCAGATGATCTTGAAAATTTTGTAAGAGAGCAATTTGAGCAATTTTCTCATGATGATTTAAAGCGTGTCTTTCAAGCCTGGATCGATCGCTGCGAACGCGTGATTGAATCCAATGGTGATTATATTTAAATAAACTTTATATATATGTAACTTGTTTATTTCTATTCGCAGTATTCAGGTTTGTGCTAAACACACCTTTGGACACCCTATATATGTAAATGGCAGAAGACATAGTGGTTTATACTATTACGACTAAAAACCCTGAGTCATATAATTCTATAACAACAAACTTACAAAGTCCTCAAGGACGATATTGTAAACTAACCTTAAACACGATGACGACTAAAGCCTGTTTTGCTCTTTTGACACCAGAAGATTTTATTGTTGTGAATGGTAAAAAATACTCCTTTGAAGATACTTACTCAGATATACCACCAACAGATTTTGTTGACTTATTTAATACTTTAAGGACGGATGTAACATGTGCTGCAACTAGAGCAGGTTTCATTATGTTTGGATGTCCGACTGAGTTTACTATAAACGATATGAGCTATAATACAAAACTTATATCTGGTTTTTACTACCAACAGTTTCCTATAACAGGAAAAGGTGTCATACAAGGTCTATCTGTTCCATTGACTTTAAGTACACCTATTTTATATATTGTTTCAAACTTAGGTTCAAAGTGCTATTCGAATGTCGACAGAAACTACTATGACCAAAAGATACTCATGCGTATAAACAACACTTTCTCTGCTGGTTTGCCTATTGTTCATTCGAATGCAGAGTTTTCAGCTTTAGTAAACTCAAACACTTTAGCAAACATAAACTTAACCTTAGTTGACGCAAACTTTGTTCCTGTAAAACTTTTATGTCCTATGTATTTGTCAATGACGGCAGAAAGTTTCGAATTGGAAGATGCAACTGGTGAAAGTATTGTACTACAAGAACAACTTCAACAACAAATAGCTCAAGAACAACAAATGCAACAAATGGAACAAATGCAACAACAAAGTCAAGAATAAAAAAAATATTTTTTTTTTATTTTTATAAAAAAATGTACAGAATAGATGTTTCAGATTTTTATGACTTCCAAGCCTTCAGAAATATGTGTCCATTTCGAGACTATAACAAAGCAGTCGAGAATTTGAAACGTTTAGTCATTTATGTCGACTCTGCCCCAGAATGTTATGTTATGAAAGAATGGGATGTAGTCTTTAACAAACCTAAAGCGACAATAGTTTCAGAACAAGAATGTAAACAGAAACTTAAGAAAATAAAAGTCGTACAAGTTGGTATGAAGATGTTAGATGCTTGGGATATCTTATTGTCAAAGTTAGAAGATTTTTCAGTTCGTGGTATAAAGTTCTATACACCTTCTCCAAACTTCTATTCTATCTTCACTGGATATAAATACGAACAAGTAGAATGGAAAGAAAATGTTATAGAAGCTTGGTTAGACCATGTCAAAGAAATTATATGCAATGGAAACGAAAGAGTCTATGAGTATATCTTATGTTGGTTTGCAAACATCTTACAACATCCAAGTGCTAAAAATGAAACTGCTCTCATTGTAATTGGAAAACAAGGAACAGGTAAGAACACTTTCTTTACAGATATTTTGTGCAAACTGTTAGAGGGCTATTCGAACCCTAATATGACAAACTTAGAAAACATCTGCGGTAAATTTAACTCTTCAATAGAGAATATGAAACTTATAGTATGTAACGAACTTCAAAGTATAGATACAACAAAGGTTTTAAACTCAGATGCTTTGAAGAGTCTTATAACAGACAAAGTTGGAGTTGTTGAAAGAAAATATAAAGACCAAAGAGTTTGTGAAAATGTTGCAAACTTCGTCATGGTTTCAAACAACGCCGTTCCGATGAAGTTAGAAAGTTCTGACAGAAGATATGTAGTTGTCAGAACGTCAGATTCTCATATGCAAGATACAGAATATTTTGACGACTTAGCAGAAACTTTGACATCTGACTTTTACAACCACTTGTTCTCATATTTCATGACATTAGATATTTCTAAGTTCAATCCAAGACAAATTCCACATACCGAAGAGAGACAAACATTGTTAGAAGCAAACAAGAGTGTATATGAACTGTTCATAGATGAAACTGACTTTGAGTGTTTAGATGAAAGGTCATTGTACGATTCGTATAAACAGTATTGTCAAGAGTATGGTTATATGACAGCGTCTAAACGAACATTCTTGGCAAATGTCAAAAATCTTTTAGACGTACAGAATGGTGTATATACAAAGAAAAATTTTTCTGAGTAAATTTTAAAAAAAATATTTTTTTTATCCGATAGAAAAGATGACGAAATTCATCTCAGTCAACAAGTACATGTCAGGACTTAAAGAAGAACTAGACCCATTCACATATTTGAATGTTTACTTCTACCATTTTGAAAAGTCTTCATTTGACAAAGTTTGGAACATCGAACCAGTTAAGTTTGCTATTGTGACTAAAAATGGTGCGAAATTTGAAGACTTAGACATAGAAGGTTTGTTAACAGTCAAAGAAAGTTTTGACAGAAGGTTTTCAAACCTTAAAGAAGGCAAAGCATACAAACTTGTTATACCTTATGAACCAAAGAAAGCAGACGACTATGAATATTATGAGTCTAAGATAGTTGAAGTTCAAGGTAAATTGGGTAAAAAGATTTTAGAGTCTAAGCCAGTGTTTGCTCCTAAAGAGGAAGAGAACATTGACATTGACCCAGAAATGTTCTAAAAATAAAATTTTATTTTTACATGTCAAATTTCTTTTTCTCTGGCTCTGGTTCTTTCTTCTCTTCTTCTACTTTCTTTTCTTTCTTTTCTCTCTTCTTCTTTTCTGGTGGAGTTATGTCAAACTTCTCAGAACCATATTTTTGTAAAAGTGCTTTGTCATTTAATAGCTCTTCTATTCTGTTTTCTATTTCATTTTCAAGAACAGCGCATGTGTCTTCTTTGCATTCTAAGAAGTTTTGTTGGACTTCATCTCTCCAAGAGGCGTCATCTCTGTCAACAAGTCTGTCATTGACAAATTTTAAGACTGCTCTGCTTAATGTTTTATGGTTCTTGTCATATTCCCAGAAACAGAACTTTAGAACAAATTCCCCTTTCTTGTTTACACTATGTAAGATTTTATGGTCGACAGATGTTTTGCTGTCGAAAAGCTTGTCTCGAATATAGATAGCGAAATCGCTAGACATTTTGTAAAAGATAAAAATTTTAATTTTTCTAAAAATATGTTAGAAAAAAAGTTTGCTGACATTGACAAGAAATTTGAGAATGTTTTAAACAAGAACAAGAGGAAGTTGGAAAATGCTCAGATAAAACCCATACATGACAAGTTCTTATTTGCTCAGAATGGTATAACAGGTCTAATTGCACCACCTGGGTCGGGTAAGACTTTCACTTATCTTAAAATGGCTGCACAACAACAAGAACTAGATGAGAAGAACCCATTCTATGAGTTAGTAGTCATTTGTAGTACTTCGGGTCAATTTGACCAAACCGTCAATTCGTTCAAAGATATTATAAAGAAGTCTAAGTTAGTATGTATAAAAGACTCTGAGTTGTTAGATTGGATAAAGAAGTACCAAAGAAGAGTTTTGAAGTATAATGCTATAAATGAGTATGTCAATTCGAAGTTTAAAGACCCAAATGAGGAAATGCAGAGAATATTAGAGAAGAAACACTTCCGAAACAAACAGAAAGAGATAGAATACATTTCGAAGAAATTGCAATCTTACGATTGGAAGACTTACCCTCACAGATGTCTTCTTATCTTAGATGACTTTGCTTCTCATCCTTTGTTAAAGAACAGAGAACAAGACATGTGTCGAATTCTTAAGAAGCTCAGACACTTTAACATCTCAGTTGTCATTTGTGTACAGACAGCCAAGAGTTTAAGTAAGGATGTAAAGAGAATACTTACTGACATTGTACTTTTCCCCGGATTGTCCGAAGACGATTTCATGGAACTTATGAAAGAGTCCATGGCAGGTAAGTTTGACAGACATGAACTATGGGAGAAGTACAAAGTCATACAAGACCCTCATACTTCTTTCAGAATTCATATCTACGCAAACAAAGTTCAAATTGTAAAAAGTCAAGCTTGAAAATGTAAGTGTTTGAGTCTTAGTCTGTTGTGGTGCTGGGGCTGTCGGTTCTTCTGGCTTTGGAATGGACTCGGTTGGTGGTACGTCAGTCATTCGTTTGTGTCCTGTCGGAAGGAAGAGTTCTTCCAGTCATCCGTTTGTGTCCTGTCGGAAGGAAAAATTTTTCCAGTTGTCGGGAAAATATTTTCCTGTCGGAAGGAAAAATTTTTTCTGTCGGAAGGAAAAACTTTTTCTGAAGGTCGGCCAAAAAGTTCTCAATTTTCGAAAATTTGAATGGTTTACGGACGAACAACAGGAAAAATTTTTCCTGTCGGAAGGAAAATTTTTTCCAGTTGGAAGGAAATTTTTTTCCTGTTGGAAGGAAATTTTTTTCCAGTTGTCGGGAAATTTTTTTCCTGTTGGAAGGAAGGACTCGGAATGCCAGAAGGATTTGACAAGACAATTTACCTTATAGAGCTACCTGAGCCATCTTTGGTGTCAAGCTTGAAAAATAAATGGTTCATTTACTCTGCTTGTTTGAAGTTGTCAAAATACTCTGTTATCTTTTCCTTCAGTAGCGGCAAATCTTCTTTGAATGTAAGAATTGTACAACCTTTCATATCATAGTGTGTTTGAGGTAACGTATCTTGAACTATCTGTTTAACATCTTCATTCGGTGTCATTGAAATCGGTAAGTTTTCGCGATAGAACCAATTTCTGTCAGATTTGTAAATCTTAGCTAAGTCGTAAAAGCTTTTGTTGTTTCTTCTGACTAAATGCAACATAACCATATCTCTGTCTTCTTCATTTTCCATCTCTTCAGTGTAAATCATATACTTATAGTTCTTTTCCTTTCCTTTTGGTACCGAACGTGGTATTCTTTTCTGTATGTTTTTGTCTTTTGCTTCAAGCTTGTTCTCTAGCTCTTCACGTTCTTGTCTATGAAGTTCGTCAAGAAGTCTGTAAATATACCAAGCATAACGAGGCGAAGCCCACATTGCAACAGCATTTACAAGAAGTCTATGTACATACCAACCTCTCAAACCATTTGGCAATTTTTCACGATTTTCATAGAGTTTTGGCGACTGGGGTTTTTCTCCCACTCGCTGTTCTTCACTGTTTTCAGAAAAAAGTATGTCTCGCTGTGCTTCATTTAATAGTTCAATAGTGCTTTGGTTCCTAAACCAGTCTTTAGGAAGCTTAGTATCTGGAGCAAAACATGCTGTCAAAATACTTTGCATTTGGTACATGTCATCTTTGACCGAACGAATGAGACGTAACTGTTTGTTATACTGAACCCACTCGTATTCTTCATTTATATCTTCATGAACGATAGCAGTTGTTGTGTTCTCTGTTGTTGTCATATCTGTCTTTACATACAAAATAAAAAATAAAATAAAAATAAAATTAGCGTTATTTTCTATCTTGTATAAAAGACCAAAAATAAACGCTTTACATGTATTTTTCAGCAACTTCGTCAAATAATTTTATAGCTTTGTCGATCTCATCTACTTCAAACGTTTCTTTACCTTTCGTGGGAGCACCATACATTTTCTCAAACTTTTCAAGTAGTTCTGTTTCAGCAGCTCTCATATCGTTAACAAACGCAACCTTAACTCTATTGACTATACTGTCATATCTTTGAGTTATATTATATGTTCTTCCTATCTTATATCTCTTTGTATTGAAGTCCTTCGGTTTCTGAACGATGTAAAGTAAGCCTTCACAGCAACGTTCCGTATCGAATGAACCATATGTTATGAAATTATATCCAACAACTGGGTCAATCCAGAACAAAACTAGTGGTATAAGACTTTTGTCTATAAGATATGCTCTTGTTCCATAGAATCTTACCGATATCAAAAGCTCAGGATTTCTTGTCAAAATTTTCTGAGTTGAAGCATTTCTAACCCAGTCGTATGCTTTCTTTTCAGATAGTGTTAAAATGTCTGACAAAGAATATTTTTTGTATTTCTTTGAGTATCTTACGTTTAAATCACCTATTCTAACCACTTTGGTGTCATTGTCTATCTTTTTAACTGTTTCAAACTCAGTGTTTGTCATTTTCTGTTCTTACATACAAAATAAAAAAATATTTTTTTAAAAAAACTAACGTTGTTTTTTTATCTTAAGGAAATTCATGATTTCAGGGATTTTTTTGACGAAGTGTCAAAGTTCTCTTCGTCAAAAAAATACAGTTATATCATGAAATTTGGTCATTTTTTCACGATTTCATAGAGTTTTTTTACGAAGTGTCAAAGTTCACTTGGTAATAAAATACAGTTATATCATGAAATTTGGTCATTTTTTCACGATTTCAGGGATTTTTTTTACGAAGTGTCAAAGTTCTCTTCGTCAAAAAAATACAGTTATATCATGAAATTTGGTCATTTTTTTACGATTTTCATGAGTTTTATGCAAGACCGAAAAAAGTCGGGGTCGCTGTTCTTCACGATTTTCATAGAGTTTTGGCGACCCCGAAAAAAGTCGGGGTCGCTGTTCTTCACGATTTTCATAGAGTTTTGGCGACCAGGGTTTTTTCCCTACTCGCAATTTTTTACGATTTTCGAATGGAATCTCGACCCTCGGTTTTCCGAGGGTCGCTGTTCTTCACGATTTTCGTACGGAATCTCTACCCTCGGTTTTCCGAGGGTAGCAAGCATATGAGGAAATTCATGAAATTTGGTCATTTTTTCCAGCAAAAATATATTTTAGGTGGAACCAGGTCACTCGGTCACTCGGTCAACTAACATCTTTTTGAAAATGGTGACAACATGACATTTTGACAACAACACAGGAAATAAACTTCTTCGTATATGTTTTGTCATGATTTCATCGTCAATGAGCGTAAATCAGACAAAAATATATTTCTACCATAAAGTTTCACAAGCGTTTTACATGGTATATGTTGTGATGGTTCATGACTTTAAACAGTTTTGTAGCTTCTATTTCTTCACGAAGGATATCAAAAGTTTTAACGATACCGAAAGTTTCTTTGTACTTCTTCTTGACATCAGATAGAAGGAAATCGTTAGCAGTTGGATAGTTTTTGTTCAGAAATGTCAACATGTCCATTTTATCTTCTGCTGGTTTCTCTGCTTCTTTCTTTAAGTCAGCATAGTCGTTTCGCATACGTTCTATCTCTTTGACGGAGTAGTTATATTTCCTCATTGCTGCTTTACATTTTGAACATTGTGGGTTCATTTTAGCATTGTACATTGAAACCTTGCCTGCAAGTATGACTAAGGCGTAAATGGTTTTCTTTAACTCAAAGGCTGCTGGTTTTATTTGTCCGTTCCATACTTTACCTCTTCTATCTTTATCTCTTATCTGCCATACACATTTTGCAACTAACGAAACAAAGTTGTCGTAGGTCTTAAACTCCCCAGATTTATATATGTCAATGAAATATACCATATCGCAGTCTTTGTGGTTGCAATGAAATCCAAGAAACTCATAGTTTACCTTACGTATGAACTTCTTGGTTTCTACTGAGTCAGTTGCTTTGACTTCTATTTCATCGAATTCTGGAATAGTAAGCTTTTGTTGTTGTATTTCAGGAAGTTTAGGTAGATGTTCCACCAGGTCCTGCATTTCATAAAGATACTGTTCATTTGTTTCATCTTTCGCACTACAGTCTAAATCTCCTTGGAGAAGTTCTTGCTTTATCTTCTGGATTTCTGTTTCGAAAGTATATGAAGAAGGAATGAAGCTTTTCATTTCTACTAACATTGAAGTTGGGTTCATGACTAACGAGTTTGGTGCTGTTGTTGCTGACATGTTCTTACAATAAAAATAAAAAAATATTTTTTAAAAAAAACTAAAATATATTTTTGCCGAAAAAAATGAGTTTTGTGTGTTTTCTACGGTGGAGCCAAAAGTGGCTCGACCTCAAAACAAGCATTTTGTGAAGAATATACCAACCCGCGGAATTCCGCGGGTTGCTTTTTATACAAAACATTGACGATGAAGTCTTGACAAAACAAGCATTTTGTGAAGAATATACCAACCGCCGGAATTCCGCGGGTTGCTTTTTATACAAAACATTGACGATGAAGTCTTGACAAAACAAGCATTTTGTGAAGAATATACCAACCGCCGGAATTCCGCGGGTTGCTTTTTATACAAAACATTGACGATGAAGTCTTGACAAAACAAGCATTTTGTGAAGAATATACCAACCGCCGGAATTTCGGCGGTTGCTTTTTATACAAAACATTGACGATGAAGTCTTGGCAAAACAAGCATTTTGTGAAGAATATACCAACCGCCGGAATTCCGGCGGTTGCTTTTTATACAAAACATTGACGATGAAGTCTTGGCAAAACAAGCATTTTGTGAAGAATATACCAACCCGCGGAATTCCGCGGGTTGCTTTTTATACAAAACATTGACGATGAAGTCTTGACAAAACAAGCATTTTGTGAAGAATATACCAACCGCCGGAATTCCGCGGGTTGCTTTTTATACAAAACATTGACGATGAAGTCTTGACAAAACAAGCATTTTGTGAAGAATATACCAACCGCCGGAATTCCGCGGGTTGCTTTTTATACAAAACATTGACGATGAAGTCTATTTCCTGTGTTGTTGTCTAAATGTCATGTTGTCACACTTTTTCAGAGAAGTTCGTTTAACCGAGTGACCGAGTGACCGAGTGACCTGGTGAGATCTAAAATATATTTTTCAATACTTTTTCAGCACTTTTCCGTAGTTGTATATGAAAGACAATTCGAGATAAAAGTCATAGTACAATGGTATTATATGCTGCACACCGTTTGTTGTGAACCAAACTTGAAAGTCAGAGAAACTGTTACTAGGTGGTTCGTAGAATTTAGAAGCAAAGTCATAAAAGTCCTTACCGATACACAGAAAACTGTTGTTGCTTGAACTGAAACTTGCATGACACATGACATTTTGAGGGTCAAACACGTTTCTATAAACTGTCAAATCTGCTGGTGGAAGTATAAATTTAAATGGACCATCTGGTGGTAATGGTTCGTTCTGGTTTAGTAACCGAAGAAATTGTGCCCAAGAACGTTTGTCTACTCCCCAATATAAAAACTCTGTATCTCTTGGAGGGTTAATTTCAATCTTTTGAAATGAAACTGTGGAGTTCATCTTGTCATATTCTAGTTTCAGATAGTATGTTCCATTTAGTAAAGAGTGGTATTTTTCTTGAAATTCCCAGTAGTATTTGTTTATTTGAGTTTGAAAGTCATTTAGAGTTTTTTCAAGACTTTCGTCTGAACGAATTGTAAAGATTTTCATTTCGTCAAATTTTTCTATTAGACCATCAGAACCTTTATACTGACCGTGAAAATATACTGCGAACATAAACGCGTTAGTTCTATTTGAAAACAAAACTCTTCTAAATCCTATTGCCTTTGCATCTGAAGGACTTTGAAGCCAACGAATTGGATAGTCAAACCTGTATGTTCGGGATGAAATTTCTTCATCTGAAATATTCCTACCAGCATTTGTAAAGATATAGTCTAACGGTTTTGTATCTGCTACTTTTGTTCTTTGTTTTTCAACCTGAAGCATTTAATATATGTAAAAATATACTGTTTTAAAAACGTTTTAAAATGGTATGCCATATAGCTTCTTGAATTTGTTAAGAAGTATTCGAACGTGTTTTCCATCTGTATCTCTAGCGTTTACATAAGCATAGCCCGCCTTAGTAAAATATACTTGTAATTTCCTATAGTTTACGCCGGTATAAAAGTAGAAAGAGTCTTGTTCTTCGCTATAGTAGTAAAACTCAAACGTATGCTTGCCATAGTCTGTAATTTCAATTGTTTCATCTTCTAGTTCGTCGACAAATTCGAATACAATATCTCCAAATTTGCTTTTGTTCTTATTGTTTTCAGAACAAGTGACCCAACGTAAGTTTTCAAGTCTATTGTCGTTTCTTATATGGTTTATATGGTCTACAAAAGGTAAATTGTTAGGATTCAGTATAAAATGAGTTGCAATGACAATATGTTTAAGATAGCGTTTCCCACCCATCTTCATAGTAGCATATCCGTCATTT